TCCAACTCTCAGTAAAACAGACTAAGTTTCCATCAACCTGCTAGGGAAAGGCTAGACTTTTTGTTCTTTTTCTATAGAAAAAGGTGTTATGTAATTATTATATAGAGAAGAGACCAGAGTTTGCAGTCAAACTTGTAAGAGAAAAACTTACAGGGTGAATAGACCGTTAACTAAGAAAATGTTTTATTATAAAAGCTATTAGTTGAAATTAAAAATAAGATCCCTGAGGCATCCAGTTCTTAAAGACCTGAGCCCTGGCTTTGAGGGCCTGGAGGTGGGATGGACCCCAGCGCCGCCTGGGTAAGCGAGGACGGGCGCCAGCCGGGGGCTCGGCTTCAGCCTGCCGGCCTCCGCCTGCGCCGGTCACCTGCGCCCGTCATGGAAACGGGAGCATCTGCCCGTTCACCTCTCCTCGTTCAAGCTGGAGGGCAGGGCCTTTTAAGTTTTGTGCCATTTTTATTACAATGGTTCTTAAATACATTACAAAAAGAGGTATTGTAATGTTATAGCTCAAACGAAACTTCTACCTTAGAAAGAATTCATCAAATGGCCAAAAAAGAAAAAAAAAAATCCTAAATCATTAAGTCTAAGTTACTGGTTGCTATTTTAAGGTAACATCTGAAAAATCAGTTGATTGAATAAATGAAGAAAGCCTCAATGTTTAAAAAAAAAATCTTAAAATCATTTGCAAGCACATTTTAAACAATTAACAGGGAATTTATTAATCCTTGTGATCTAAGGTTTATATGAAAATACAAGTTAGTATTTGTTGAGTATCAACTATGTTCTAGGTACAAATAAGGAGTTTTAAAAAAATAATTTTAGAGAGTGGAATGGACAAGTCACTTTGCTCAAAATAGGACTGAGATTCTCAGCTATAATTCAAACTCTGGGTTTGGAGAGTTTAACTAGATTTCCTAAAATCATTTCAAAATACCTAATCTAGAAAAGTCAAAACTAACATTTAGTTAAAGCCATGTGTTAAAAACTATTAGGAAAACTCACATAAGATTCTCCACAGGGAGGCTGATGCTTCTAATCCATGATTTTTTGAAAGTCAATGACTAAACATTGATTTCCACATATCAGCAGCAACATCAAGTATGACCTTGGTTCATCATACTCAGTGACACCATTCCCAAGTTAAAATTATCTTTGGAAAACATTCAAAGAATACTGAACTTTTGAGTGCCCGCTGGGAACGCAACAGTGAATAAGAGAAGCGGGCTTCCTTCTCAGTAAGCTTAGAGTCAGTTTAAATAAGCACAAAGGAACAACAAATGGGTGTACTTTGCACTAAGAATTCTCTTTAAAATAACCCTTAAAATAGCTTCTTCCTTAGTAACAACTCTTATATTATGAAGGGCTGCAACATGCCAACTAATGATAGTTGGAGTTATTCCTCAGTCTCCCTTACAGATAAGGGTGGCTAAGGAGATGCAAGCAGAAGTAAGCTGAGTTTCAGGGGAAGCTTTTAAAATCTCATTTACTTAAGTGGCAGGTCCCTCTTTGCCCTTCTCACTTCTTGCTTCGCCCTTCTTGTTACACGGACATGGTGCCTGGTGCTGCTGTGACTGCATTGTACCACGAGGCAGCCTTGGAGAGGCAGACGGGAGAGATCAGAAGGCTCTGGGAAACCGACACTGTCATGCTGTTACCATAGTGACCTGGAACTGTCTACCAACAGATATTTATGTAAGTGAAACTAGCCTCCGCCTCCTTTAACAGAACATTATTGCCAGTCCCCGTCATTTGAGGCCAACCATTACCTTCTCTTTTAAACTGATATTTGAAATATTTAAAAAATGCTTTTCTCTGGAGATGGAAAATCATGTCAAACAGAACTTTTAAAAAAGACAACAACCATATATTCCTATCAATTTCCCTGCAAATCTCCTGATATATGTAGCAACTTATATGAGACAATATCTTCTGGGCAAAACTTTTTAGACACCCTCAACCCCAAATGGCCACCATGTCCATTCTAGAATGACTGCACCTTGACCTTCATCTCTAAAAACAATTTTAACTTCAAGATCACTAGCTCCATATATCCCCTCTCTTCCTGTTGTTTCACTCTTTCTCATTCTAGAGATTCCAACGTGGGCTGAGTCCTCCTTCGTTCTCCTTCTCCCTCTCACAAGTTTCTCTTGCCTTTTTTTTTTTTTTTTTTGCTTTCATTCATAGTGACACATTTTACAGATTCAGCCCTCTCTCCTCCAGCATTCCTTCTCCCTCAGAACTCTAGGGTCCTAACCATGTAATTTGAAGTGCTTGAGCAGGTTCACAGATCACTTTAATGGAAAAAGATTAAAGAAAAGCTTTATTTTACTTTCTTTAAAGAAAAGCTTTACTTTCAACATGGAGGGGAGATGCCGCCCTCTTTAGAGAAGAATGTCAGTTGGCCTCTTAAATTTTAGAAACATTGTCATGATCAGATCATCATCGCCACCGCTCTCTTTCTCCCCACCACCTTCTTTATCACCATCTCCCTCCTCATTGCCTTTGTCCCACTGCCCACACCTTCTGAGTGACCATGATTCTTATCGCTGCCGTCCTCACCACCAATACTGCAGAGAATATGACGTGACCGGCACTGCCTAAGGGCTTTCCATTGTCTGCTCATTTAACAGTCACAAGAACCTCACGAGGCAGACTTCGTTAACAGCCCATTAACAGGGGAAGACATGAGAATGTATTAGAGACGGTTCACATGCTCGTGCCCCATATCTGGTCAGCAGGGGTGAGAGTCTGGTCCCGGTCCCAGGTCCCAGAACCCACCCCTCCGCATCCATCTCTGTTATTCTGCCTCTAGTGACCTGGCATCCCAAATGGATGGGTCCCTCCTCAGCCAGCACCAGCCTTTCAGGAACGTGTTAGAAATTTAACTCTAAATTTACTTTATCCAATATCAGACGGAGGCTCCTTTAGCACACATAATATCTAAGAGAGAGTCTGATGCTTCTTGCTAGCTACCCATTCCTCTTCTTGTATCACTTGTATCTCCCTCTGAGTTGAACACCAGCTCTGCCCTGAGAGAATCTCAAGCCCAATGTCCATCTGAAGAGAATTTCTGTGCTTTTGTCAATATCCACAGGTGAAGAATATATTTTCCATTATGTTACTCAGGGTCTCTTACTTTATATTAAATCTATGTTAAATTTTTCCTTGAATTCAGTGGTATTAACAAAAACAGTCAAAAATAATTTCTCACAATATTTAGTCCATGACAAAGTACATGTTTCTTTTATTCCTGGGCCGCAGGAGCCTCACTGAAATACCTAATTAATCTGGCCACCTCGTAACTTTGATAGGTTTTCTTATTTTAGATTGGGAATATCCAATTTCTATTTTCATTACTACATCTATATAGAAAATTACAATAGGCCTTGAATTCTTTTTTGAAATAGGTTCATAAGAAATTCTACAGATAAACCGATATCCCCAGTGAATATTCCATGGGACATTAGCTCAATGAGACATGATGAGATGGTCCAGGAAAAACTATTCCCAGGCCAAATAAGCCTGAGAAAACCTACAGACCATACCTACCTCCCTTAGAGAGACACACAGCGTTTTAAAGCTACCCAGCAGTCCTGCAGGAAAACAAATCTTTCAAAATATTCAATTCAGTGTTCCCCACATCTGTTTGACCCCGAATCTCCCCACGCCCCCTGCCCTGCCCTCCACTGGTGTAACTGGTGGAATGAATCTCTTGGAACACCCGTTTGAGAAATAGGGCAACAATGAGCCGTCTGCATGTATGCAGCTATAGAACGCTGCATGGGAGCAACAGAATGGAGCCGTAGCCGCTGCTGTGTGGACTTGGCTGTTTTGCGGTTGGAATCCTGACTGCCCAAGGCTAGGAGAGGGGAGACCTCCTCCTGACTGAGTCACTCCGGGCTGCTGCGGTGCAGAGGTCCCTGTGGGGCCAGGGCACTGAGAGGGCCCACCTGCCCAGACTCTTGGGAGAGTGGTGGGGCAACTGCAAACGCAGCTGTGAGTCTTTTCTGAATACCTAGGAGGGCGGGGAAACTTCGGGCAGATGAGCATGGCTCACACAGAACTGTGTTCATATTCCATGTCTGCTGCTTACTCTGCCCAGCACCCTGGACCAGGGATCTAGAGTCTCCGAGCTTAAAATAAGCTCCCTCATTGGTAAAACGTGAATGAAACCAACCTCACAGAGTGAACCAAGGCAACGGGTGGAAGGCGGAGAGCCTGTGCTGATGGGAGATGCAGAATAAAGGCTTGGCAGATGGCAGGGGCTGCCGTCACCGATTCTACGCTCTAGGCCAGGGAGTGGGGCATCAAATCCTTGGCTCTGGCCACGACACACAAAGAAACTATGACCTTAGCACACTTCCATCGGATGCGTAGTGCAAGTGTCTTCCGAGTTTGGATACAAATCTAGCAACTGAGAATGTAATTTTGTGTACTCAGCCTGTCCCCAAAATGTGCTCCCTTGGAATAGATGGGAAACACCATCCATGATCCATAATCATAAAAGCACAGGGGCCCAAAATAAATAATGGCTCTCCCAGAAAAGCTCACTTGGTTGTTATTTATAAGCTCCTAGGCCACCTTGCTATTGCCAAGAAAATCTGCTTTACCTTTTTGCAGCTGTTCTGTCTGGCCTCCCAATATATACTTGCTGGAAAAAAGTTATTGTTATGCTAAAATCACAATGGGACTCACATAACTCACCACTAAATAGCACCAATAAAACTATGAAAATGGCATTTTGGCATTCAAAGTTATTTTCTTATGGACTTTAACAAGATTCAATGCTTTTGTTCTCATAATGCTCTGGTATTTTCAGCTTTACAAAAAAAAAGATAAAAATGTGAAATAGTTTTCTGGCAAAACATCATCCTTTCTCCAAAAGAGAGTGTTTTGATTTTGAAAACAGGGAGCCACAGGGGCCGTGTGGTACACGATTTAATATTGATCGGCAATCATGGCTGTAACCACAAGGCTGGTGTGCAGCAGCAGTTTACCTCTTTCTTGGTGAATTTTGGTGAGTGATCGTTTTTGTCATCAATCAGGATTGTCGCTGTGGCCGTGCCTATTAATCCAACATCCAGTCCAGCCATATCTTGGGCCTCGATGATCAACTCATATTTGGGATTTTCCAGTGTCTACAAAACAAAAACACAGCAGAGAAGACGCATTTAGATTCAGGTAGGTGGCAAGGGTGTTCCTTGAGCTACCTCTATGCCCTGCTCCATTGAGGGCAGGCATCTTTAATCATTCATAGCCCTTGTACCTATTGAAATCTCTCCAAAGCAAGATAATCACTATTCATAAACTGGAGTTGGCCGTGGGGATGGAATCTCTTTTGTTCTTAATTAAGGGGACATTTGACACATTCCAGAATGTTTCATTTCTGGAGTTTGGGTATATATTGCAAGTTTGATATTTATACCCACATACGTCATTTCACAGCAACCTCATGAAACTGACCTGGAAGTAAGATTAGGACAAAGATGTCAGATTTAGGGACTCATATTTACTGAACAATTTGATGGGCCAGGCAGTGGATTCCTGTATTTTTCAGAAATCATCATTGTTAATCCTTCCACTAAGCATGTTAAATCACAACTGTTGTTCCCATTTTACAGGTGAAAAAATACTAACTGAAGTTTAGAGTCACCTGTACTGCACTTCTTTCATGTCATTTTTAGTCATTTTAATTTTTGGTGTTATGCATTGTAATCCAGCTATGATCTGATGGATTTAACACAGGCAATTTTGCACTATCATCTCTCAATGTATGCGAGTTTTTCATCAGATAGTTGACAGACATTTCGCTACCATGTTTAAACATTCAGAACAACTAATCAAGGGGCCCTGATCCCAACATAAAGAAGGGTGCAGTGGTTGGTGAATAACAGACCTGCATTTACATTGCCCTCCGGGGTGGATATGCCTGTCTTGGTCAACCAGGTACCATTCTTCTTCTGGGAATGCAGCGCCCCACTTTTCCTTTGGGGACCTCTGGTCACTTATTCTCTGCCCATTGGGATGTAAAGAATGCTCATTCTCGGTAGCTTGGGATGCATTGCCTTTTCCCACCCTCCTCTCTGACCAACTTTTGGAATGAGCCCTGGTTAGAAGAAGCCAATATGTGCATGTCAACCTAGAGACATAATGACTGGTCCAGGCACAGGACCTGTGCTTGATGGTTGAGAGAAGGAAGCTCTGTTTCCCGGTGTGCAAACCTGGCAGCTTTGGACCCAGGAGCTAGAGGAGCCATCACATGCCAGTCAGGGGAGGGGTGAGGGATGTCTGTCTGAGAGTGAAGCCAATACGCTGATGGAATTAGATGTGAGCCGTGGAGGAAAAGTAGTGTTTCCCAGTGACTGCACGGGAGTCACTTCATCATGCTGTGCCTGAAGCCAGTCCCACCTGTGGACTTTCAGCTAATTAGGGCATTAATTTTCCTTATTTGCTTAAACTAGCTTGGATTGGTTTCTAAATCGCTCACACAGAGAGTTCAAGTTGAACCACCTTCAATAACAAAAAGAAAAGGACTTTATTTTTGTTAATGAAGGTTCTACCAGTTGCAAAAGTCCTACCGGTCAGTATAAGAGCTTCAAAAACATTTCTTATTCCAACCAATAATTAAGAAATACCATGGAAAGCAAAGAACAAAACCACAATGGGGATCTATAGTTTCCTTCTAAAGCTAAAAGTTAACATGGGAATTTTTAATAGTTCAATGCTAGCTGTCCCCAAAACTTTTTAGTATTTTAAAAGGGTGGTTAGCTGTTTGCAACCTAGGGAACCTTTAATGGGTTGTTTTGTAACTAAGAGCTTCTGAGCTACTAACTTAAGGAGGAATGGTTCTGCTGGATGGTTTGGAAGACTCTAAACTCTTAATTCTAGAAGATGAGTGGGCTGCTCCTTGAACAGTTACTCACAATGCCCCTCCCCCCTAGGCTTTATTGACATATAATTGACATGTAACATTGTTTAAGTTTAAGGTGTACAATATGATAATTGAAAAAAATATTTTGTATAAACAAACAAACAAACAAACAAACAAGCTGCACTGGGATTGAAGTTCACAGAATTCTCTAATAGCTGAGTGCAAACAGACTTAACAGCAAACCCAGCTCTGGGTAATTCTGGTTTTACCTGGTTCAGCTGGCACCTCTCTGTAAAGGAGCTTGAAATGCCATCTACTCTCAAGCTGGAGTTGAAAAATCATCAGCCTAATGTAAGTGACTTTCTACTTATAATTGACAAGTTGAATTGGATTTACTATTTGCCATAAATTTTGCAGTTGGACAATAATGAAATCATAAACTGGCCCATCTTCAAAAATTTTCCCAAATGTCTCTAGACATACTAATCACTAGTCAGGTCTAATTTTGTGTATGACTTGTTTGCTTTTGTAACAATATGTTGCATGTTTTGGGAAGCATGTTATCATAAAAATAATACATTATGTAGATTTTTTTCTGATATTAAAGAGATCATGATAAACAATATCATTTTCTCCATGTAATATCATTTACCAACATAAGTCCTTGACATTATTTTAAGGGTTGCATAAAATGAATCATATACCCAATTTATACTTAACTTCATTATTTTCTATTATTAGGACTTTAGGTTTTTTCTAGTCTTTAAAAGTTTTTGACAATCTAAATAACACCACAACAAACATCTCTATTCAGGAATTTTTCAATATATTTTGACATTTTTTGAATGATAGATTCTGGGATACGGAATTACTAGGCCAAAGAGTATGAACACTTTAAGGCTCTTTATTCATATTTCAATATTGCTTTCCAAGAAGATCTTAACCGATTTTCATAGCAGTTTTAATAGCACATTCACATTCAGTTTATGATCTCAAGCATGGCTTGTCTCTAAAGAACAGCCAATCTCACTCCATGAAGCAAATTGGGGGATGAGTACGATCCTGCAATGACTACCCAACAAGGAGGCCAGCTCCTCACGGCATTCACCCTTCCCCAGTTTGCGGTACAGGTTGCTATGGACACGCACTCCAGGGCTGCTTCAAGCACTAAGTGGGTATGTGCTGTGTTGCCTTCCCAGTGTCCATCCATTCCCTCTTCCTGTGATACCCACTTTGGGGGCATCGCCCCTTCCTCATTCTCGCACAGGTTGAGTTCAGGTAGGGTTGACACTATCCCTGACCCAGGGAGGGTCATATGGCTCGGGCCTCCCATTCCCACGGTCGTAGGATGAGCCCGTAACGTAAGGGAGGCCACCTGGGATTGAAACTCAATCTCGGGGCATATTTCTTTTAGAACTCTTAGGTAAAAGATATCCGCCTTCTGCTGGACTTGAAGGTGGTAGGACATAAATCTGGAGCTAGCTGGTAGTGGCCATTTGCAGCCACACAGAGAAAGTCAGCTTGAGAAAGAGGAGCACGCAGCACTGAGAGGGAGAGATGGTGTTCTTTTAACCTCCTTCGAGCTCTTTTATAGTCATTCTGAAGCCAGAATTTACCTCTCAGATTCTGAGTGCTATGAGCTAATAAATTTCTCCTTTCCTTAAGATATTTAAATTAGATGTTCTGCAAGTTGCAACAAGGGAGTCTTGACTAATATTGTAACTAATGCTACGATCAATTTCCTCCAAGAAAGTGTAAGAGCAGCTTATCATACAGCAGCATCACAATAAGCTCTTCACAACAGCATTCCAATCATTTCATGAATACATTATTTTTGCTTTTAACACTTTCCCCTCCACAGAAACAATTTTTTTTGGATCAGAGAAAGTTATAATTTTTTTCATGAATTTATGCACCTATTTAGTTGGAAGTTATTGAACATCTAGCCTAAATACTATGCTGGGTGCTGGGAATAGAGGGATGGGAAAACAAGGTCCCTGTCTTGAAGAAGTTGAGGATTGAGGATAGGTATGTTTACACATAACTGCCACAAAATAGATTCACTATAACTAAGCAGACTCTTGTGTCTGCTTATGACAGCACAAAGGAAAGACACGTGGGCTTAACTCTCTTGTAGTTTAATATATTTTATAAATAATTTAAAAAATGAACCAGCCAATTCCCATCTCCTGAAGTAAATAAAACTTTATGACTGCAATGGGACATATATTGATTAACCTAGTAGGAAATCAATTAGACTATTAAGTAGATGAATTGCAAGGTTTGGCATGAGATATTCAAAAGTCTCAATTTTCTGGCAAACCAAAGGCTACTATAAAAATGGTTTTATTATTGAAAATATACCCAATTATTTTAAGGAAAATAGAAGTGATACAGTCATTTCTAATGTGACAAGGGGGATTCTCCTCCGCCCCTCTCCCATCCCATGTCTAAGAGGTAAATATTGTTATTGTAGTTCTTTGTTTCCCTCCTTTCTCGTACACATCACACACATTTTATACACACTCATATTTAAACAAATGATTCCATTCGCACAGTTGTACAATTTGTTTTAGCATATCATTTTCTTCTAGTACTTACGGATCTGTCTCTTATTATAACAGCTGTTTAACAGCTCACTGTATGGATCTATCATAATTTATTCAATCTTTCCTTATTGGATGGCCATTTGAGTTGTTTATAAGTTTTCACTTTAAAAAGCAACTCTAAGATAAAAAGTCCATTGGCCTATCAGTATTTTGGGATTTTTTCTGTAATAAGCATGATTGCTTTCCCAATGACAGCAATAATGAAAACCAAACAACCTCTAATAAAAGTTACCTTCCTTGAGATGTAAAAGACCTGGAGAAAATGCCATGTGAGTCCCTTCGTTCTTGCACAACGGGAATACCTTCCGCTCACCAGGGACCTGCTTCCCACACCGGCTGAGCCTTTTCCAGGAAGCCTGCCCCAATTCCCTAGCTCTTGTGGTCACTCTTCCTTGCAATATACATACACATCACCTCTGCACTCCTCAGCAGTCACATTGCCTTTGTTTTTCCCCTGAAGAAACTCCTAGGCAGCCCACAGCTGCCCCGTTCTTTGGGAAGATCTGTTGCTGCAGAGATACAGGCCCCGGGGGTCGTGTGCCAGGTTTGTCTTTCTTGCACTAACGAGTGATTCACAGGTAACTCTCCCTGGGACAACTGGGTTCTGGGAACATGAAATGTGGAACCAGGTATCACAGAGACCGAATGTGGGGCAAGC